TATGGAGCAATGGGTCACTTGAGAATGTCCCTGGTCATTATTTAGCTCACAGTTGGACCTGTTCATGACCATACCTTTTTTCCATGTGTCCTGGACTAAGGGACGGTACCAATTAGTGTTGCCCTTCCTAGTGTCTACAGAAGTTTAGTCTTATAGAATTCTGAAGGTGGAATAAATAATTGTAATACTTGAATTCAAAATACTGTTGCATCCACTGATGAACATTACAGTAGAAAAGTGAAAACCCTGGAACACAGAGGAAGCAGTTGATGAGAGGTCACTGTGATAGGTTTGGGTATCTCATCTGGATAGAAGGTGTTACTGGAAGACATATCGTAGAAGCCCCTTGGATGAGGTGATAAATATGAGTCACATCATATGGAATGGTTTGCACCTTTTGGGACTCATAGGCTTCAGTGAAACTTAGCACTTTTGACTTTGAATAGGAAAACGTGCCAATACATAAAAATCTTGTATACTTCTAGAGGGTTTTCTAAGTGCCTAAAGCCCATCCTTGAACCCCCAGCTAAGCACTCTTAGAAGAGCTTATGTTCATAGAGCAGCGGGGATATAGTGTCATGGAGAATACCAGCGCATGCTTTATGTGAGTACTTAGGAGAGAAATATTTTTCATTACCCCGATAATGGAAAATCAAGCAAGTAGTTGTGACAATTCCAGCAGGCCTGAGAATTCCCTTCGTAATCACTTTGTCTTGCTCTTGCTGGTGATGTAGGAAAATACAGTCAGAAACTTGGTTCAGGACAGTACAAGACCTGCTAAACTGTAAGCATCAATTCTTGACTGTTTTTTTAAAAATATTATGTGTTTATTATGCTGCAGATATTTTCATCTTAACAGTAAATATGACTTTCATGTGAATAGTTAAAAGGAAATAGTTTGACTTAAAAGTACAAAAACTAATCATGAAAGTAAATGTAAAGTCAAAGGCACTCATCCTATTATGCATTCAGAATTCATAAGCAGGATAGCAGAAGAGTCAGAAAAAGAAGAAGAAACAGAGCCACTTGCCCAAAGACTGGAACAAAGATAAGGAGCAGAGCAAACTTGGGAACCCTCCTTTGTTTTCATATGCCTGAAGGGCTCTGTTCAATGGCCCTGCAATTCTGTGATCAAACAGCATTCCCTCTTCATCACTCATCCTCCCCCACTTTCAACTGAGGACGCCTATTATTTTTGCACTTCCTTTCCTCCCCCATCTCCACACTCATCCCAAAATGCATCCCGTTGGCAAAGCTGTGAAGATCTATCTGGCCCATTGTTGGAGTTTTTTATTCTTCCCACTGTCCCTTCAAGAGTTAGGAAAGAACTAGTTTCTGCAAATCTGGAGCTAAAATGTGTGTTAGGGAGAGGGCGGGATTCTCAGTGAGCAAGTCGAAACCATGGCCGAGCACCCTGGGCAAAGGCGTGAAAGAACATGGTACCATCTAGCAACACACCATGTCTCCACTTCCTTTGCTGTATCTTCAGAAGCCCCCCCTCTTTTGAGTCTGTGCCAGCTGCACAGGCCATCTTTCTCCCACCCTAGTATGCTCCCCCACTTTCCTCAGTCACTTCATTGTCTGTCTCCTGCCCTCATCTTCTGAGCCCATTTCCCTGTGGTCTCTTTCAAAACATTCCTTCCTGTTAAGACTTTATCACCCTCATAAGGAAATGCCTTTTACCCTGACCCCCATTATCTACCAGCTTCGCACCACCTCATAGCAATGCAAGGCAACACCTTCACCCCGGTCTGCATCCTCTAGCACAGTTGAGCTGCTTGGGGACTTGTCCTCAGCTCCTCCATCTTTTATCAACTCTTTTCCTGGCTCTCTCCATCCCCATCCAGACAGACACCATATGGGTGACAAGATGTTTTCATGGTGTGCTGATGACTGCCACCCACAACACGCCCCTCACCTCCTGTTGTCTCCTTTGCTGGTCCTTTCTCCCAGCACTGGGCCGGCCCGCCATTCACTATACCCCTGTAAGGTTCCTGAGCACCTTGGTGGAAAAGCAGAAAACCATGACCGTGCATTTTCTACCCCCAGAAGTCCACAAAGCTGCCTGGGAGTCCTTTTTATCCCATAACTTCTTCATCCTCTGTTGTGTCCCCCAAAGCCATTTTTCCAATAATATTCTCTTTTGACTTCCAAGTTCAACCCTCTCCTTCCAGAGCTGGCCTCAACTCCCTCTCTCTAAGAAGACAGAAGCCGTGTTATGTGATCTACCTCAGCTTCCCTTCTGGACCTTTGTCCAGAGGCCTAGTTTTTTATTTCTCACTGCCTGCTAATCATACACAGCATATGTTATCAGCCATCAACTGTATGAAACTAGATGCATCAGCCTCACCAGAACCGGTTCCTCCATCCATTTTTGTCCCCCTTAATAGGACTTTACCCTTCTCTCAGTCACTCACAGTTGTCTTTGACTATGAAACTCCATGGTCTACCTTTACATTGTCCCTTACTTTCGGCTTCCTCTCAGGGTGCTCGCCAAGTTATACCTAGGCTGTTATGGAGCCTACGAACTTGACATTTAAAGAGTGAGTACCTGCCATTCCTGTCTTCACTTGCTACTTCTTGTACAGCAGACCACCTTAGCCAAAGGAGGCCCTCACTATTTGTTAAATGAATGACTGTAAATGAAGCATTTTTAATGCTTTACTTCCATTTCATAAACTGTCATCAAACATATTTTTCATCATTAATTCTCTAAAAGCTCTTATTCTTATTCAAGCAAGCATCAGAATAAAGTTTTATGCCCAGAACCTCAATCATGCTACTTCTGCTCTTTGTCAGGAAGAGCATTAGGTGAGGGCGCCTGGGCTGGGAGTCTTTAATTTATCCTTCCTTCTTGAGAGTCAGATAGAATCCATAGGGTTATTACATTTTCATGGCAATTTTAGATAACTTATATTTCCCTTTATACATTGATTTTTCTGCTTTTCTCTTCTGTATTTTTAACAGGTTTTCAAAATGAAAACTATCACGATGACATAAGATGCTATTGATAGTACATCAATATGATTCAGCTGTTCTTCTGCCCAACAGAGTGTGGCTGCTCTGTGCACAGCCTGTAATACATATTAGTTACACAGACATTAGGGAAGCCCTTCCCATCCATATGTATGTGCGTGGCCCATGGAAGTTAATAATGCCATATATCACATGTACGAAGAATATAAAATGTACTTCAGAATGACAGCGGGCTCATATAAAATGAGAACTGGCTTATGGTGAGAGGAAACCCAGGAAAAGATTTTTGTTCTTTCAAATCCACTGTTTACTGACTTATTTGTTGCTGTCTGACTCAGTATCCCAGACTAACGTTCTGCCCTTTTTATGGTGATGGGGGAGGATTTCAATATATGCCCCTGTCTCCAGTCACCTTATTCACGGCAGCCACATGGATAACAAAAGAACCCCTTTGGAGGCATGAAAGACAGCAATTACACATTGGTATTCATGTTACAGGAGTCACACTGCCATCCTCGGGGAGTTTAACAATGAATATCCAACATTAATTGCCACAGTAACTGCGTGTCCGACCTTGCTGAAATGTAATACATCAGTTTTACATAAAATTATTTGCCACTAAAAGATTAAAAAAGAATGATCATAAAATTATGTTGCTGTTTAGAATGACAGTTTTTGTTTGTTTGTTTGTTTGTTTTTGAGAAGATCCTGGAAGACTCCAGTGACTAGATAAACCATATTTTCTTAGGAATCAGGGCCTAGAGTTAAAATCATAATTTTAGCACTGATTTATTTGGCAATTAGGATAAGATTAGTGCCTTCCTATTCTTAAGAAAGGAGAATAAAATACATGGACAGCACTGGCGTATCTATGGAACTGATGACTAAGGCACAATAAGCCTTGCACTTTTTATCCATTGGGGAAAAATCTTCTTTTATGTTTGTACTGAATTATAGGTAGGATTTTCTGCCAGTAGCAACAACATGTTAGGAGCCCTAGTAAATGTTTCCCTTTAAAAACAAAAAAGGCAGTATCATTTTTAAGGTGAAATGTGCTTGCTTTCAACTTCTCTTCAGTCTTTTGCTGAAGCCTCAAAAATACAAAAACTAGATTTTCCTGTGTGCATTTTGCCTTTTTCCTGGACCACCTTACACTTACTGGGTGCCCCACATTGGAAGGATTTCACACTGTGAACTCTCGAAGTGTTCATCCTGCTGAGCTCCACGCTGCAGGGTCAGCATGGAGCCTGACCACGTCAGCGGCCACACTTGCTCTGGGCTGTGGAAGCTGTGTGTGCAGAAATGAATGATTGTTCTGCTTTCTGTCCTTTATATAAGGGGCTGAAGTGAAGAAAGTCAGTGCACTCACCCATGACGCCCGAATATCTGCCTAGATGAGATTCTAACTAGAGATCCATTTTTGCTTGTATTCTGGCAAAACAAGTACATGATAAATTTGAAGGTCATCTCAAGTCTGACAAAAAATGAACTGAGTGATAGAATAGGTAGTTTTTTAATCAACTTTTAAAGTGAGACTACGAAGTAAGTGAGTATGATACATACTTCTTCTATGTGGACTGTTCATTTGGTGTTTATAAGTTTTATATGATTCTTCAATTTTAATACAGAGAGTTTTTAATAATCAGCATTTGCCCCATAAAGAAAATAGTACACATGCAAGGAGCATGCTGTATTTCTTGTGTGAAGTTTTGAATGCCTTAAATTCAGATTGTTCAGGGAGTTTTAAAAGAAAATGTTCAAAATCACATCCCCACTTTATTTTTTTTCCCTATTTACTTTAAAACTCTCTAATGCTCTTGAGTCCATTGAACTTGAGCCTGGATGCTGTATAATTGGAAGAAGATTCTCGGCCACACTCCTAATTCATTCTGAAATCTTTAAAGAAATTGTGGGGGAAATTAACTTGAAAACAATGCAGTTTTGTTTAGCTTCTTTTTCTTTTTTAATTTTCTCTCTCTTTTTTTTTCCCCTTCTCCCATCCATCACTCTACCCACAATTAAAGCAGGATGATGAAGTGTTAACCACCGTTCAGGTTAAAGAGCAAGACCAGAATGTCCTGGTGCTGAAGAAAGTGCAGTGCTGTGGTCCAACCCCCCCAGCTGGGAGCTCGGAGAGTGATTGGAGGTGAGAGTTTCCACTAAGGCACGCGCTCCTGTTTCCTTTCCCTGCTGCCTTCCCTTCTCTCGCTCCGTCTCACTAGCTCCCTCTGCCTCCTCTTCCCTCCCTCCCTCTCTTTTCTCTCCGCCTCTCGAGTGTTCTAGCTGACTGCAGAGCTCTTAGCAGCCAGATGGACTCAGTTCCCAGTGAAAGGACAGAGATGGCAAGATCTTTTAGTATTTAGGGGATGCCTTTGTTAGTAACCGCTCACAATGGGCAGCTCCCGGCTAAGGGTCTTTGACCCTCATTTAGAGAGGAAGGAATCTGCGGCACTCTCAGACCGAGAGCTGCCCGTGCCCACCTTCGATGTGCCTTATTTCAAATACATTGACGAGGAGGATGAGGACGATGAATGGAGCAGTCGCTCTCAGTCTTCAACCGAGGATGACTCTGTGGACTCTTTGCTCTCTGACAGATACGTCGTGGTGTCTGGGACCCCAGAGAAGATTTTGGAGCACCTTTTGAACGACTTGCACCTGGAAGAAGTCCAGGACAAAGAAACAGGTAAGGCAGGAGGGTGTCTCCTGCTTCCAGACTCCCGGCTGCCCTTGTCAGCCTCCTTAGGGGCAAGGCTCCGGGCAGCCCTGAAGCCTGGGTGGGCTGAGATAGCACATGCTTTGTGCACCTCCCCCTTTGCCTCTTGCTGTTTTGTTTAAATCCAGTAAATGGACACATGTAGATCCAAGCAGCTGTCTGGGAAGTAGCTCTACAAAGAAAATGATACAGAGGCAGATGTTATTGTTTATTAGGCAGTTTTTACCAAATCTCACCTAAAGGCAGTTGGCAAGAGCCCAACATACAGAAGTCTGTATTCAATGTTAAGAAATACAAGGGGGTGGGGTGAGTGAGCTTGTACCTGGCCTGCAAGAAGCCCTGAGCTAGGGGGAGTAGCCTTCCCACAGAAATGTCAACAATTGATGCAACTACTCAGCAACTGTAAGCTTAGTAGCAACTTCTGCCTTTTTCTAAGTGGTTTACAAACTGCCCAGTGCAAGCCTTACTGAGCAGAATATGATACTCCTGGTTTTTCAGACCAGAAATTATAATTTCACTGAAATCTTATTAATCAGGCTTCTTGTCCTTTTTAATCTGTGAATAAAATGCCTGCTTAGCTTTTTCACCCCCTTTTACTTTGGGAAATAAGACCTTTGCATTTCCAAAATGACCAGCCCATATTTCCATCACAGAAGGGTGAGTTCTGGCTTCTCTTAGTCAGAATTTGTAATTTGTTCCAGCCTGGAGCAATTATTCCAATAAAAAGGCTTCTGATTGTAGCCTGAATTCTGTGTCTTGATCCCCTGAGTAAAATGCGCTTTTGGCTGCCTCCACAGCACCTGTGATACCCCCAGTTTGCAATATATCGACTTTATCAATAAAAGGTTGTATTAGTTAGAGCAACTCCTTAGGTTTTTCCTATGCAGGAAGAATTGCAAAATGACATTTTTTGGTGGGAACAGTGGGCTCCTTGTGCCCCAGTAGTTTGATCTGAACATAATGATGTCTGACTCTATCCTACATTATAAAGGACATTAAGAGAAGAAAAGATGAGTGAAATATGTACATGGGTTTAAAAAAAAAAAAAAGGTAAAATGACCCAATCATGTATCTTATATTGTTTGACCTCAAAATTCAAATAGTTACCTTATTTTACATATGTTTCGGGGGGGGGGGGGATCAATAGTTGTCATTTATACACGTTAAAGTAAAAGAAAAATGTATTCTAATGGCATTTGCTGGGTTGTTCTCGTGTTCTATTGATTAATATTTTGTGTGTATGAGCACTATTCCTGTGTTCTGCTTTGTCAGATATAAGTATCATGGACTTGGACATAATTTTCTGTGGCCTGATTACCAGACTGCTTTATACAGGTAGTTTGGACCAGATTATAGGCAGTGGCATATTGGACTAGATAATCTGCTGTGAAAAGGATACCTTTGAATGTGTGTAGTGGCTTGGGGGATTGACTGCTTTCTCCTTAATAGCATCACAAGTCTATTCTACAGGACTGTGTCTAGGTCCTATTAATAAGACTTGAAGTTATTAAAGCCAATACCAGGCCTAATGGTTATTTTTTCTTTCTTTCTAATTGTCAGCGGTTTTTAAAGAAAGATGGCCAAGGTAACCACAAAAAGTTCCATTATTTAACACTAGGAATGAGAAATCACTCTCTTTACTATTTCTAATGCTAAGAGTTTGCTCTTGTTGGGAAAGGGTATTGTACATGGTGTCTAGTGACTGTTACTCCCACTTTTTTCTCAATTTTACCGGCCCTGAGATCAAATATGTCACTTTAGCCATGTGATCAGCAATTCAAAGAGGACCAGGCTCACTGGTCCTCTGAAGGACAGAAAGAGTCCTCACTTCATTCCTACTTAGTTCCCTTGAGTTTACTAAGGCTATCCATGAAACTTCACATTTTTTGCAGAGACATTTGTGGGGCAAAATGGCGACAAGTTTTCCTCTGAACAAAAGAGACTCTTATGGAAATGAAAAAGTCATCTTGAGAGACTGATGGATGTGTGCATTGTAGGGATGCTTAACTAGAAGTAACATGTAGTTCTTCAAAACTTCAAGTATAGCACTTAGAGAAAAAACTGCAGAAAAGCCAGTTTGGTTTTTATTGATAATGTTAGGAGAAATATAAAGTAAAAAACAAAATTTACGTGCATAAAGAGGAAATGTGATTATGTGTATTATAGTTTGAATACTAAAGGAATCATGTATTTAAAGAAATTGAGGCTCCTTGTCACTGGCAGAGGTGAATTCTAGCTAGTTTTTTATCTTGGTCAGGCTAGCAATCCTTGTCATAAAAGGCCTGTGTGTGCAAGAGCCTAATAGAGTTGCATAAACATATGGAAGACAGATGGAGGAAAATGAGAAGGGGCTGCAATAAAAGTATACAGCAGCATTTTTTATGTTCTTGAGCTCCCCTTTTAGGAAGATAGAGCCATATGGGGCCAAGTGAAGCCATATGGTGGTCGTCCACATGGCCCTGATGTCAGTGAGAAGGAGGAAATAAATGCTCCAGGAGGCTAGGACGTGCCTGTTCTGGACTCCTACATTCTTGTGTCCACCAGAGGCTGGGGCAGATAACCAAGCAAGTAATTTTTTGTCTCACAAAAGTCACCTAGTTGTGAAAATATAGGTGTTAGGCCCAATAGAAGAGTCCTTCTCTGTTCACAAGGGACATTTGAAGTGATTATTAATCATTGTTAACATGCAAGTGGGGGGAAAGTTTACTTAATTAAATGAAACAGAAAAGGGAATGCCAAGACTCTTGTGTTCTATTTTTTGGCTACCGGAATCTAGACTAGAAAACAATTCATGTAGTATTCTATAACTATATCAAACTAAGTTGCAAAAGCAAAAGATAGTATTAGAGATGCTTAAAAACAACTACTAATGACTTTCCAAAATGACAATACTTAGCACACTTAGTTTCATAATCCCCTATGCACATACCTTTTCTCTGTGGTAGTACTAGGCATAAGGAGCATCCAGCAAATATCTGTGGAATGAATGAATGAATAATCCTTCATTGTTTAAAGTGGAAAAATGTTTAATTCTGGTAACCAGATATCTATTTGTGAACATGGAAATTGATTGAAGCTGTTTTCAAAGATTTCCTTTTCTTTCAAGGTTCAGGTTCTGACTTGAAACATTTAGACTGTTAGAGAAAAAAATCAAGCAGCTATGTCCTTCATCTTTCATCTTCTCAGAAATAGGGCAGACATCATTGGCTATTCCTAGCTGAGGAGAATTACAAGGAAGGTAAGAAGGAAAAAACAAAGGAATTGTGAATAAAAGAACTGGGATGAAGAAGCAAGTTGGACCAGACACACCTGGTCTTTAGGTTCTGTCCTGTAGGTTGTTGTTCCTATTTAACCTTCTCCCTTCCCTAGAAAAAATTAAGCATGTTTTGCTTAAAGATGCTTCTGTTGGAAATAATGACTTCTGTTTCAAAGCAGGAGGGAAACTAAGTGTCAGATGGATTACATACAGAGAAAGCTTATTGATTTTTCTTTTTAAATCCGCATTATGACAGGCCTACCTTAGGGAGAATACAAGAGTAAATGCATTATTTGCTCCTCTCTTTTTCTGTTTCCTTGGTCCTTTTCAACTTTTTGCAGCAAATGTACTTATGATTCTAGGTTACCAAGTAAAACAGAGACCAAGTTACTGGGAATAGGTGGTCTACCAACTGATTTTTATTAGGTTTGACCTGATTTCTGTCTAGATTTGGCCATTTTTTTAACCAATTAAGTTTATTAACAGTACTTTCTATTAAATTGTATTCAATGAGGAAATGTCCCCTCAGTCTCCTTTGGTCATGTCCTGAATGCTTCAGTGTTAGTGATTGCTTTCACCAGCACCTAGCAGGCTTAGCATGTCTTTGAGGAAGTAAGTCCCTTGCTGTTGCAATGGGTCTACAACCTCCATGAAAGTACCTGGTTTACATTACAGGAGTGTCTCTCTCCATCGGTAAAGTCTAAAAGTTACTCTCCATTGCTTGCTTTTTTGAACTGGCCTTTTTGAACATTGCACTCATGGAACCTTGAGTAAAGCTCGGACAGGCACCTCATTTTTTGTTGTTGTTAATTTCTTTATCTTCCCTGCCAGCATCAAGCCCACCATAAGCAACTGATACATATTTCTTGGGAAGAAAAGTTAAGAATTTTTTTCCTGATCATTGGAAAGATAGAAGGCAGGTAGACCTCTTTGATTTCCTTAGCATTTAGGATTTCTGGAAAGATGTTTGGTGTCTCTGTTCTAGACTTCTTATTTATTTATACAAGAATCGGGGTACAGGCCAGATGCGCGGGAGCGTGAGAGGATTCACCAGAGACAGGGCGGGGAACAGAACAGGCAGACTGATGAAATACACTGCTGAGGAGAGCAATGGGTGCAACAGGAGAGGTCTGTTGCACCATGTGGGGCCCTCGACAGTTGGCCGGGATTGAACTGGTGCTGCAGAGGCTGCGGACAGCTTTACAGCGTGGCACTCAACTGCCTGCACCACCAGGGGAGGCCCAGGCACAGAACTTTTCAAATGGTGCTGTCTCATCATTATTTTTGTGCAATTAATGTGCACATGGAATTATCTTGTATTTATCTTTTTATTTTTATAATGTCAGGTAGCAAACTAGTACATCTTATCCATACCTGCACATTAGATGCACATGGGGCACTTTTAAAAAATGCAATCCCTGGCACTCTCCCCAGAGATTCTGATTCTGTTGACCTGAGCTGGGGCCTAGGTTTTATTAGGCTTTCAAAGCGCCCCAACATGATGGTAATATTAGCCAGGCATGAGAGTCACTGAAATAGAACATTGACTATTTCACTTCCTGTTTTATTTTCAAGGGTATATTCCAGTTTCTAATAGTTACATATTTTCCTCTGGGCATTGGGAGCATCATTCCCCTTTCCTCCATCTCCCTACCCCAGATCCCCTCTTCAGGGATTAATGTCCAACCTCATGTCCATGGCCCCTCTATGGAGC